GAACCAGGACCGGTGCCGGATAAGATTGTTATTGGCGGACTACCCTATCGCGTAGGCGAGATGCCGGACGGCCGCGTTTGGATGCTTGAAAATCTGCAACTAGACGTTCCCGACTCGTGGTTCATCAACGACGACGAGGCCACCTACGGAAGAAACGGCAAGAACTACGGACGTCTATATCTTTGGGATGCTGCTATGGGAATATCGGTTCCAGGATGGCATTTACCTACTAAAGATGAATGGGATGCCCTTGCCATTGCGGTTGGTGGTGAATCTGTTGCAGGGACAAAGCTGAAAGCAAATAGTGGATGGAGCAGCGGCAATGGAACGGATGACTTCGGCTTTTCTGTTTTCCCTGCTGGTTTACGGTTCAATGGCTCCTTCTTCAATGTGGGTAGCAGCGCGGCCTTCTGGACGGCTACGGAGTACTCTTCTACTAGTGCCTACAACCGTAACTTCTCTACGGGTGCGTCGATGGACTCGTACAACGCTAGTACGACTTACAACGCTTACTCTGTTCGTCTCGTCAAGGACGCCTAGCTTTACAACAACAAGAACTTGAGGAATAAATCCTATGGCAGAAAACATTACATCCGTTTTGCTTAAGCCGGAAGCAACAGACCTTTCGCTTTCCGACAACCTCTACCTTATCCAGGGTTCCGGCCGGGACCGCGACAAGAAAGTGAAACTCTCCACCCTGCTGGAGTTCTTTAAAAAGGTCACCGACAAAATCACTATCAAGAGCGCGAAATACACCATTGAAATTGATAGCAGCGAAGGAACCTTCAGTATCTACGACCCGGAAGGCTCCGCAGGCATTTCCTTTGGTTATTCAACAACAAAAAAGACGCCTTCTTTTACGTCTTCTGTTGGTTTTGATGCGAACATCAATCTTGATGGCTCTTTGAATGCTCTTGGCACCAAAGGAGGTGTCGTCATCAACGAAAACGGAGTGTCTTTTGAGTATCAAGGCGGAGAAAAAGCTAGTACACAGATTAGTGAGTCTGAAATAGAGACTTACAATCTTAATGCGGAAGGAAAAGTCAAGTCTAAAGAATTTGAATGTGACGGCATTTCTGCAACAAGCAGCATAGTGCAAATCGAAAAACCTGTTCAAATCAAAGGAAAAGGAACCGTAACTGGTGATTTGTATGTTGCAGGAGGAACAGAACTGAAAGGAGACGTTGTTGTACGAGGAGATTTAACTGTTCAAGGAGGATGTGGATTCGGCTCCATCACAGCAAATCGTGTTGATGGTGTGTGGGCCACAGGATTTTATTCCGTCGCAAGCCAGCTCCCGACAGAAGGTGTACAAAAAGGCTCTTTTGCATTTGCAAACAACTCACGAGGCGTACTCAAACTCTACGTGTACACCGGTAGCGGCTGGACCGAACTCAACCCCTAATGAGCAAAGCGCTAAATGTCTGAATCTATAGTTGAATTCTTGACCGAGGAGCTTATCCGTGTTGGCAAAATCAACGCCGACGTGGAGAATCCCGTCACGCGCGACGAGGCGCTAAAGAACGTCGCAGAGGTCATCGCAGCCGCGATTGACAAGGGCTCGGCTATTGTATTCAAGGGCTCCGCAACCATCGCGGAAATCAATGCGATGGACGATATGAAGGAAGGTGACATTTGGACCTGCCTTGAATCCGGAACAATCCGGAACGAGAACGCCGACTGGCTTGATGTTGTCGCCGGGGACTTTGTCCGCTACAACGGATCCGAATGGGAGCTTTTCCTGCACCTTGAACTCGGCGACTACGCCACCAAGCAGGACGTGGAGAAGGTCTCCGCGTCCGTGGCCAAGGTTGCCGAAGAACTCTCGGACCATGAAAAGAACTACAACAACCCGCATATGGTCACGGCCGACCAATTGGGGGCCGTCACGGAAGATGGACTTGTTGAGGCTATCACCACACACAACAACGATGACTCCGCGCACGAGGATATCCGCAAGGCAATCAGTGATGAAGCCGCGACAAGGGAAAGTTCCGACGAGGAAATCATCACCAGCCTGGAGGACGAGACCACCGCAAGGCGCCTCAACGATGACCTTCTCCAGCAGCAGATTGAGGACGCCTCCGTTCAGACCGACTGGAACGAGACCGACGAAGGTTCCCTCAAGTACTTGGCGAACCACCCGACACCGATTTCCGACCTTGACATTGAGGCGTTGTTCACATAAAGAAGAATTTTAAGGAGAAAAACTCAAAATGGCCAAATATCTAGACCTTTCCGGATTGCAGACCTTTTGGTCCAAAGTCAAGACATACATTTCCAATGCAGTCACCAGCAATAGCCCGAGCGCAAGCAAGACCGTGACCGGGTTTGACGGCGGCAAGATGACCTACGGAAATATCCAGATTGGAGAAAACCAGGTCACAAACCTTACCACCCACCTCGGTGAGAAGGCTCCCCTTGCAAGCCCAGCATTAACTGGTACTCCGACCGCGCCCACTGCGGCTGCTGGCACCAACACCACGCAGATCGCGACAACTGCATGGGTCAACACGGCAATCTCCGACAAGATGGCCGAGGCAGACGCCATGGTCTACAAGGGCACCCTCGCTGGCGCTGCCAAGGGTACGGGAGGCTACGGCACATTGACTCCCGCCGCGAGCAAGGGATGGACCTACAAGGTAACCACAAAGGGCTTCATTGATGGCGTTGCTGTCGAAGTCAACGACATGCTCATTTGTAACACCGACAACACGGCAGCCGCTACAGCCAACAACTACGCTACCATCGCTGCGAACTGGGACTTCCTTCAAGGTAATATAGATGGTGCAGTCGTTGGCCCTGCAAGCGCAACCGACGCCCACGTCGCAGTATTTGACGGGACCACGGGAAAGCAGATCAAGGACAGTGGATTCACTATCGGCAAGAGCGTCCCGTCCAACGCCGTGTTCACCGATACCGACACCAAGAACACCGCAGGCTCTACCGACACCAGTTCCAAGATTTACTTGATTGGTGCTACGAGCCAGGCAGCAAACCCGCAGACCTACTCCCACGACACCGCCTACGTCGGCCCTGACGGCTGTTTGTATAGCGGCTCCAAGAAGGTGGCAACCGAGGAGTTCACGGGCAACACCTACGAGCCGAAGATGACCGCGATCACAGACGCGGAAATCGGCGATTTGTCCTAACGATATAGCGGAGGTTTTACAAGATGGCTAAATACCTCAACCTTGATGGCCTGCAGACCTTTTGGGCCAAATTAAAGGACACGTTTGCTCTAAAGAAGCACTCCCATACTGTGGAGGACATTCCTGTTGATTCCGCTTTGATCGGCACCAGTACCAACCCTGTGCAGAACAAGGTGGTCAATGCCGCACTGGATACAAAGCAGGATTTTGGTAAAAAAATCGTTGGCACTTACAACTGGTATGCCTTTAAGATTGCAACGATTACTCTCGGCGCAGTACGAAGGTATATCTCCATAGCCATTCAAAGCTCGTTCGCAGACCAACATTCGTCCACGCACGTCGTAAACATAGCGACTCCTCCTGACAACAGTTCCCACAACCCTGCATGGAACAGTAGTTGCATTGATTGTACTAAAATAGCGGGTTCTGATTATTATCCTAGTGGAAACCATTGGTTCAACAAGATACTTGTTGCAAAGACTGATGTCGCTGGAATATTCGATGTTTATGTTCAATGCAAGAATCAAAACAGTACGTTTAGTGAGTTTAATGCGAAGCCAATCGGCGTCAACCAAGGTGTAACAGTCTTGTCTACCCCAATCGCTCAATCTGCGATGCCAACTGAAAACTTGATTGTGGCGTCTGCTAATGTGAGAAAAAATGCGTCTATCGTGCATGGTACTGCGGTGGGATCCTCCAAGAAGCCAATCTACGCAACATCACAGGGCAAACTTACAGAATGCGACGGTACCATCGATGTCAGCATATCAGGAAATGCTGCGACTACTGACTCCCTCAAGAAATACGACATCCCTTTCAACAGGACTGTTGCCCAGGGTGGCAATGGCAAAAAGTGGCGCAGGATTGCTATCTACGAGAACGCAAGCTATCCTACGGCGTCGTCTTGGGATGCCAAGGACGCCATCATTAACGTTTACATGAAGTCCTATGGAACGAACGGTCAACAGGTCCATATCGGTAGGCTTCAATGCTCATTGCAGTTTGGTCACGCTGCGGTAGACGAGGGTGGAACGCCGTACTCGTTCAAGACAAGTGGGGCAAAGTATGCTAAATGGTCTCTATGGAAAAGTGGCTATATCAACGATGACGCTCCTACGACTCAAGGACACATTGACGTAAAGGTCGTATGCTCCGACACCAAAGTCGAGTGGTGGTTTTGCAATAACATCTGGGACACTTCGCTTGTCTACAAGGTTGAATACGCAAATGGTCCTACAATGGTGTCAAACGACTCCGGTTACACACCGGAGGATTTTGAAACGTACTGTAGTGACAAGAAAGTCGTAAACTGTACGGTTGGAGATGGAACGTTTATAGAAAGAGCCGTCCGTGCAGACAATGTTTTCATGACGAATCTTCCTCAAGGTTCGGTGAATGGTGGCATTACTTGGGCAAGGATTGCAAAGATTGCCGGAGTGTCAAACGATACAAGCAACGATGCGGAATTTGAGTTCAGTGTAAACCCTGACCAGGATTACCCAACCTTCTGCACAGGAAGATGTATCATTAGAAGTATTGCAGGAACGTCATTGACAGGACAAAACTCATACAGCATGGCGTTCTACAAGATTACAGCTCGTGGGGCTACTGCGTGGGGACCATAGTACACGTTCTAATGACATCTTTGGAGCAATAGTTCCTGTAGACGCTAACGACAAGAGCAAGGGAGCTTGGTTCTATCTAGGTTATAGAAAGAGTTTTGCAGCAGACTACAAGATTTCATGGAAGTATTGGGGAGACCATGTCTACCCTGAAAACCCGATAACATCAACACAAACAGCCCCTGTAGATTCTGCCAACATCCTTAATGATGGTGGCGGCTTGCGAATGACTCACAAAGGTCCATCGCATGCTACGGCCCCAAACGCAGTCTGGTATAGCAAATTGGACCAACAAGTTGCTCTATTTGGAAGCGTAACCGGAACCGCAGCAAACATCACTGGTATCGCCGCCATAGCAAATGGTGGCACTGGAGCCTCAACCGCAAAGGCGGCTGAATACAACTTGTTAAAACCAACCGTTTCAACAGATGCTATTGGCGATGATTCTGAAGTTGCTTTTAAATATGTAAATCCAACCAATACAAATGGCGTTGTTTACGCTAGGAAAGCCAGCCTATTATGGAATTACATAAAAGGTAAGCTATCTGGCACTGACGTAAATATTGGAGGCAATGCTGCGACGGCATCCGCAGCCAAGGCTGGCTCTGCCCTGGAGTCCGCCATCAACGCCAAGCAGGACGACATCTCCGACATGATCCCGACGGCTGCGAGCGCATCCAACCCGCTATGTGACAAGGCGTACGCCGACGCCATCGGCGAGAGGCTGGAGGCTAGGTTCATCACGGCGGACGCAAGCGGCTCCCCCTTCGCCACACACGCCGACCTTGTAGCGGCAACGTCCTACTACTACCACGGATCCACGGCCACCCCGGACAACAACGACATCACGCTCGTTATGGCCGACGAGGACCATCTCAACGCAGCCGACCAGCCGTCCACGACGCGCTACCGATACAACGGCGTAGACTCGGAAGGAAAGCCTGTGTGGTCCTTTGAGTACGTGGTCAACCCGACCGCGCTGAACTACGACCAGCTCATGGCCATCAACTCAACAATAACGGCGGCAAAGGTAGCGACCTACGACGGCTACGAAACTGGCAAGCAGGATAAACTTACCGAAATGACGGAAGACGAAGTGTCCGCAATCATAGGAGAACTGAAGTAATATGGCAATGCCCGACTCAGCAAACGAAGTAACAGTGAGAAGGCTCGCGAGCCTCATTTCGCAGCTTTGGACTAATATCAAGGACACTTTCGCCTCGAAGTCCCATACGCACTTGCCTACGGACATCCGTGACCCGAACAAAACAACTGGTATTCATTGGTTCCCAAACAAGTCCGAAAACGGGGGGTGTACTTGGCATAACTGACTCCCAGGACTATACTATATACTGGGAAGGAAACAACACTGGCGGAAGGCATCTTTGGAGGCTTGTCGCTAACAACAGGGACGGCGCCTGGAAAAACATCATAGAGGTTCCAAAGGACCAACCAGGGCGAGGATAACGTCAATTTTAGAGGTATTGCGGACCGTGCGTACAAGGACAGGGCGGGTAACATTATCGACGAGACCTACAGCAATGTTGGACACAAACATCTGAACTACAACGACATCGTGAGTGACGAAAGCACAAGCGACGTGACTGACATGACGGAGATTCTTACTTCTTATGCTGATAACTTCGGTTATAGTGAATCCCATCCTGAGACATACCGCAGGCGCGGTTCTTCTTTTTGGAACTACATCAAAGGAAAGTTATCTGGCACTGACGTAAACATCGGTGGTTCTGCAGCCAAGGCAAAGGCCCTTGGCGTCTATAAGGTTTCATCAAGCAGTGGTTACCCGAATCTTGATGATGCTATGAGTTCAGGTTATTCGCAGTTTCACATTGTGGATAAAGGCACATCAAGTGACGTAACCGAGTGTGGTTGAACCTGTCCAAGATGCAGGAGAACATATCTTATGAACCTGAATTTCTCCATGCAAAAGAAAGCGGTGCTGAAAATTGCCAACGACCTTACCATTGACCGATACATTAGAACAGATTATGAAAACAAGACCCTTCACCCTGGAGACTCCGTATCGTATTCATTCCCGGTAGGCGCAAGGATAAATATGGTTCGTGATGGTGCAGAATACTTTTTCAACAACGGTGCACAAACGAACGCCGATACCGTAGACGGAATGCACATCTCTGTTGTTTCCAGCGGCGCTTCTATATCATACAAAAAGGACACAATCTTCTTCTTGAGGACGACTCTGTAATGAGTGGTATATTTTTTGAGGGACGAAAGCAATGTCCTAAATCCCATCAATATCTACCAGGGGAGTACCGTATTTTTTCAGCCGCAGTGTATCCGGACTTCTACGGGAGTTATTACAACCTTGTATTTCCTAACCAGGACTGCATCTGTACTTACGGATACAACCTTTGCGTTTCCGATTATCGCGGTAGATGGCCGGACGACCTATCCGCTACGCCGTATGACAGAGGAGCCTTCTTGAATGGCACTCATAATCGTGGCGGCACTTCTATTGCATCAGGCCTTGACGTATGCTCATTTGACAATTACGTCTGTGCGTTCATTCCAACCTCTACCAGCGTAGACTCACGCAGGCAGAAGATTCGTGGATATTATTACGGAGATTATGACTCAATTACTCACGTAAACGACGTTACAAGGTTCACGAAGACATCTAACCGGGATGCGTTCACAGCAGGTTCAACCCCGTACACTATTACAATGGGTATACGTTCCGGTGTCAAGAAGATGACCGTCTCTCGGGCGTGGATTATTTTTAGGTCATCGTCCAAGACTTCCGAGCTTATCTATGAAATAGCCGTTCCATGGTGTACGACAGTATCTGACACATCGTCTAGTCTCTACCTTGACAAAAACACTAATTCAAGGCTAGTTGAACTGGATGGCAGCGGAATTTGGGATATGAGTTCCGGCAATACACTCGGTAGGCAATACGTATTGAACGTCAATGACGAACGCTACAATATTATCGTTGCCAATTACGAAAATGCAGTCAATGTAAGTTCTGGTGCTACGCATATCCACTTCTGTGGACCGATACTGCGCGTTCACGACTATAGCGGTGCCTGGCTACCTTCAACCTTGGACATTGACGTGTTCCAGTACGGACTGGAGCTAAAGGCGTTTCAGGACTAGAACTTTTTTATTCATTGCCAAACATAAACGGGTCTTCAGGATGGATACGATGATCGAATCGATAGGCAAGATCGCCAATAAATACGGCTTGTTCCCTGCAATAGCACTTCTCGCGCTTGTACTTGGAGGGTACGGATGCTGGCAAGCTAAAGATAATGAACGTGCCATTCAACAGCTTGCCATCGAGCAAGCCCGCACCGATTCCAAGCTGGATGCCAACACAAAGGAATTGAGTGCAAACCTGCAACGTGTTGACAAGACACTCATTGAACTTACAACACAAATCAAGCTACTTGTGGACGGGAAACTGCAAGTGGGAGGAAATAAATGATTGACCCAGCTCTTCTCGTTCTTTTCGTCCTCGGTGGAGTTGTCTGCTTCCTTGTCGGCTATTTCTTTGGGTCAGTCTTTTCTGGTCCAAAGAATGACAAGGTAGAGCCGTGCGAGACCGTGGAAGATATTCTCAAGAGGGAAGGGTAATGAAACGCAACCTTATTGAACCGATGAAAATGAAGAAGGTGCTGTCCTACGAATTTGTGGACTGCGATGCCGGTCGCAAGTGTCTCTCCGGACTGGAGACCACCCGTAAGGAGGCTCGCCGCTACAACCTGGATGCTTCCATTCATCTTGTAATCACGACCGACGTCGGCACCCTCCACGTGAAAACCCTGGCCGGGTTTATCTTTGACGGCCGCAGCGGCCCTGAAATCGTGGACCGTTTCGTTCCGAACCTCGGAACCATTGACGAAAGGGTGGCCTGGCTGATGCACGACGCCCTCGGATACGGCCAGTCGCTAGCATTCAAGCCGACAAACAGGATCCTACGCTATTTCCTGCGAGACGTCTGCAAGTACGGCCCCGCAAAGTCCTACCTTGTGGAACTTGCGGTCGGCGCCTCCAGGAGCTGGTACGGCCCTCCGAAGCGGACGGAGTGGTGCTACGCGAATGTAGGCAGGGTTGATACGCTTTGGGTTCCGAGTATATAGCGGTAAGGTAGCCCTTTGCAGACATTCGTGTACACGATCAATGGCGAGACGCCAGGCAAGAAGAACGAGAACCGCTTCAACCTCAAGGGAGTGTCCTTCAAGAGCGACCGGTTCCGGGAATGGCACCGCAACGCCCTAAGGACGCTACGATTTTCGCAACGTCCGGCCTCTCCGCTTCAATGCGCCCGCATACGCATCGAGTTCTTCCACTCGGACCTGCGCCGCCGCGACGGCGATAATTCCCTGGCGAGCATCCAGGACCTTCTGCAGGACGCGAACATCATCGTTGACGACAACTGGACGCGAATCGGGACGCCGGAGGTTTTGCACGATGTCTTTATCCATCCTTACTGCAGGATAACGGTGGAGGAGACGGAGCCGGTCGATTGGGAAGGCAAGGTCAAGGCCATGCGCCGGGAATTCAACAAAAGGAACAAGGAGAATCTGAAGAATGGTAGCCGTTAAGAACTTTACACCGACAGAGCTTTTGGTGACAAGCACCGGAATGCAAAACATGCCGTCCAGCTTCGAGGAGTGGTCCAACCTCTATCATACTGCGGTCAGCCTGCAGCGCCTTCGCGACGCCTTTGGCAAGGCTATCCGCGTTACGAGTGGTTTTCGGAGTCCGGCCGTAAACCGCGCTGTAATGGGAGCGAACAACTCCGCGCACCTCCATGGGCTTGCGGCCGACATCCAGGCCTACGCTGCGTCGGAGGCGGCGAACCGGCGCCTTTTTACCGTCGCCGAACGGATGATCCAGGATCTTGCCATCGACCAGCTTATCGTCTACACCACGACTGGAAACTCAGGACGGCAACATCAGGTGGATTCATGTAGGATTCAGTAGTGGAACCCCTCGACCACCAGGTGCTTTTCAGCAAATAAACGAGAAAAAGGCAGCGCATTAATGCGCCGCCTTTCCTTTTTTTGGGGGGTTAGGAGTTTTTTCACAACCCAATATAGCTTTTTTTTGTATATTTGGGGTACGGAACTTTTATGGTTTCGTGTCCTAGCCCAGGGGTGGTTCCCTGGGCGTTTTTTTTATTCAGGCTCCTCCAGGATTGTGAAGCGGTCATGCTCCGGCTGGACGGCCAGGCCACCCCAGCTTCCGTGGATTTGCCCCATGTCGTCGATATGCTCGACAATCCCTTCTCGTCCGTTGTAGTGCGGTTCGCCTTCCATGTGGTCGATGCGGATTCTTGTGCCGATTTTCATGACTAGTCCTCCTTCTTCTTGTCGCCGCGAAGGACAAATTCGTATTCTTCGTTCGCGTAAAGGAAAGGAACGTTGAACGAATCCATGAATCGGATGTCGAAATGGGAGTCCTCCTCGCTGTTGAAATCGTCGTAGGAGATGTCGTCCACGTGTCCGGCAACGAGGTCGCAATTTCCGGTGTCGAATCCGAGCTTGATGCCACGATCCTTGCAGAAATTCGTGATTTCATCCAGCTTTCCCTTGATGAACGTTTTCTCCTCGTCGGAGAGCGCGATGCGTTCGATGACCGGCTTCTTTTCCATGACGACGTTGTCGGCCTTGTCCAGGACCTTGACCTTACTGTTTACCTTGTAGCAGTCGTCTTCAGGGGAAAACATGCAGAGGTCGGGGCCAAGGATGTCCGAAATGTCAATCCTGGCTTCATTATCCCGGATATGGAGCCTGCCGACCGGGATTTCCCTGCTTTCGCCAACGCCCGTCAAGGTCGTAGGCCTTGATGATGAAGGCGTCGTCCTTCACGCTGATGTAGTTGTCGCCATAGTTCCAGCCGACCTTTTTCGTGTCGCAAAAGCCGACCCTATTCATTGGATTCAGGATCGTCATGGTCCCGTTGTTGTTCCTGTAGGCCTTTTGGATTTCGTGTCCTTCCTTCGTAACGAATGTGGTGACAACCTCTCCGTCCTTGACGGTAAAGACGGTTTCCACGATGGTGGTTTCCCGGAATTCTGTCGGGCCGGTCTTTTCGTAGATGGGACCGTTGGCGTTGTTGAGTCTGTAGAGGGTTACTGCTTTCTTTTCCATGGTTTGTGTCCTTTTTTATGGTTTGAGATAGTTAAAGTTCCTGATAGATGGGGGCAGCGTTGACAAGATCGTGACCGGTGCGGAGCTTGTAGGCCTCCTTGAGCATAGCGAAGTTGTTCTCGGCGTCCTTTCTGTCCACGCAGCCCAGGACGAGTGCGGGGGGATTGAACGGAAATCGGTGCGTACAAAGCCTGCGCCGTAGTATTTCTTGGGCGGCGTGCTTTGCAATAAAGGAAGTAAGGGAGCTTGTGAAGATTACGGTAAGAAGCATGGTTCGTGTCCTTTTTTTGTTGAGGTTTATTCCTTGGTGTACTCTGCGATGATTTCGGAGCTGTCCAGGATTTCGTCGTACTTGGTGGCGAAAGCCATAAAGAGCTGAGCCCAGGTTTCAACCGCGTCGGAGGCGGCGCAGCAGTAGATGTCGGCGGGGTATCCCTTGTTTTCAACCGGCGTCATGTATCGCCATCCGTCCTCGCCAAAGACTTCCTTGACAGCCTTAAGGGCGAGGTTTCGCGTTGCCTGGGATTTGAAAAACACGGTAAGTTTCATGGTAGTTTCCTTCTTTAGGGGTTGATTTCCTTGAATTCGATGTCCTTGTGCCCAGCATTTCAGCTTTGCGTTTTCACTCTTCAGCCGTTCGTTCTCTTCACGCAGTTTTTCGTAGTCCTCTAGCAGAACAACATCTTTTCTCGCACTAAAACTGAAGTGGCTTGCACCTTCGCAGTATTCGTCAACGTGATATACTCTTACGTTATCGTTTCATTTCACTTCTCCTCGGTTGCTTTTGCCTTCTTCTTGGCTTCCTTGATTTTCTCTACGAACTCAACCGCTGCCTTGTAGCAGTCTCCACTCAATTCACTATCCTTGTATGCCTTGGCAATCAGTTCTTCCCCAGAGCCGTAGAAGCAGCCTACTTTCCACTTGTCATTGGATAGTGTGTAGGTAAAATACCTCCCACTGCTCCAATTGTTTTTCAGCACGATGTAGTCGGCATCACCGCACACCTTGGCATTGCCGCACACCTTGGCATCACCGCACACCCAGGCATCACCGCACACCTTGGCATCACCGTACACCTCGGCATTGCCGCACACCTTGGCATTGCCGCACACCTTGGCATCACCGCACACCCAGGCATCGCCGCACACCTTGGCATCGCCGCACACCTTGGCATTGCCGCACACCTTGGCATTGCCGCACACCCAGGCATCGCCGTACACCTCGGCATTGCCGCACACCTCGGCATTGCCGCACACCCAGGCATCGCCGAATTGCGACAGATTATTTTCGCTTTCAACCCATCCGCCAACATCACCAACCGCAATATTGCCGAATGCGGTCACGCATACGATGCGGTGGAGTGTTCTTCCTAAAATCTCTTTTGTTTCGTCCGTCAGTTTGTATTTCATTTTAAATCTCCTCGGTTGTTGGTGGCGGTGGAACAACCATCCAAATAGCTGGTTCTACGAAAGTCTTGTCGCCCCAATCATTTTCGGTGTAGAATTGCTTTGTGTAGTAGTCAAACGAGGCTTCGTACACATACTTGATTGTGTTGTCCATTCTTACATGCGCAACAGTACTCTGCGTTGATACCACTGCTT